GTTATGACATTTGCGGTTATTTTGACATTTGCGGGTAGAATGTTTTGACATTTGTGGTTAGTTTTACATTTGTGGTAGATTTTACATTTGTGGGCTCTACAAGGAGCAGTGGCGGCGCCAGCGGGGGTGGGGTCAGGGGGCTTAACCCTCTTCATCGGTCTGGTCGAGCCCCTCCCCCCCCCCATCGGCCACATTTCGTCGGGCAGTTTTCCCATCCCAGCAATTTCTGGCCATCTAGAAGTCCCAAATCTTGTTTTGGGAGGAGTGGACACCCCCTCCCACACCTACTCCCGGCTCCGTCCTTCGGCCCTCAGATAACGCTGCGTGCTATAGTTACACCCATAAATAATTAGCCCCCCCCCCACTCATAAATGAATAAATGATATTCTAGAGCTGCCACTGGGGAGGAGCAAAGGCCAAAACGGAATATCGGCGTCCAAACGATGTGCTATTCAAATGGTGTTTTCAGACGCTATAGTATAATACATACTTCAAGTATCAAAGTGCACGCCAACGTGTCGGGATTCAATATTTCGACATTTAATTAGGCTTATGTCATCATCAGGAATTTCAGATGCGTTTTGGTAGAAACAATAGAAAACGCGTCTGAACGCAGATTTGTCGTCTGGAATAATTTGAAGATCGCGCCTAATAAGTAACTATCTCGTGGTGTACTGCATGCATTAATTATCGTCCCTATATAAATATATGGTAATTATTATTACATTATGATCAACTTCAAAATACTAAATTTTCACTTGTCTGTGAGACTTCAGTGATGTTATATAATTTGATGTCAATAAATATCCGCAGCATGCACCGCTATCTCTTACTGTGATCTTGTCAGTTGTACAACGGCAACTAATCAAAATTGTATGAAGTGCAATGGTGATTATGGAACGGCTTTGGGCCAAGCGTATCTCAATAAAGTAACTATATGTGAAGGTATGATAAAGTAATTAAGAAAACCATTATACTGGCGCTTTTTAGAAAACCAATGTACTTTTTGCAAAACCAATGTACTTTTTTCCTTAATACTATTCTAACATCAAATTTGAAACAACAAATACAACCTAAAACCTAATTTTATATTATAGGTTGATCTATATCTGTAGTTTCATTGTATTAAACACAGATTAAATGAACTATTATATAATGTTTTTTTATTGAAATAAATATATTTTTATTATTAAATTTTTATTATTACAGTACTCTCATTACTATTTCATTATTATTAATTATTATTTTTACTTTATTATTATTATTTATTATGATGTTTATATTGGTTGCAGAGAATTGCTCTTGGAGATCGAGCAGTACTATCTGCTACCCAGGGACTTGTCCAGATGGCGAAGACAGCTGCACATGTGCATCTGGATTTACTGGAAGTGACTGCAGAACATGTACATATACAATTGTAATAACTACATGTGTCTCTCCAACTAAAGACCACTTTTGGGACCTGGTGTTTTCATGGTCTTTAGCAGCCTTGGTCTTTAATTAGTAAAAATTATGATATAAAGATAAAAAGATAGGCATTGATTTAGGTCTGCAGAAAGGTGGTGGTGGTTGTAGGTGGTCTTCAGCTGCAGGGGTCTTTAATTGGAGGGAGACCTGTATTTGACTACGATATAATAAAAACTGAGTTTTAGGAAGTATGGAATAAACATGAATAGATAATTTTCCTAACATAATTTACTAATTTAGGATAAGTAAAGAAAAAATGTGAGTGTGGGAGAGAGATTGTTTGGCAGAGAAAACAACTGTTAGCAAAACTAAACACAGTTGTTATCTGCCAAAATTAAAGAACAAGTGTAATGTATAACTGTAATGTGGAAGTGGTTAGCAGTGTGGTTTTGGCTCTCAACATAGTGGTCAGGGGATCAACTCTTCGCTGTGCGGGTTGCTTGTGTTTTTGGCTGAACACTTTTTCTACATTTGTCCCTCTCTACCCAGAAGTCAAAAATGGCTGCTAGCATTATGTTGATAAGGTAAACAGACTCGCTATAATAAGGACTGGTGATCCCTTCGCAGCATTGTACAGTCTGGCTTAAACGCTAAAAAGTGATGAGCATTCCGATTTGTAAATGTTTGACTAACTTTACCCACTTTTATCTGTAACTGTAATAATGCGAAAAAAAATGGTGTAATAACATGCTCAAAGTAATTACAATGTGTATAATACCGTAAAGCATTGAATTGAAGCCCGGTGGGCTTAATCTCGAGATGAAACACATCTCGAATTTGAGCCCCTCTTTAGATAGCAAGATAGCATCGCTCTTCACTAGATAGTACAGTAGACCTATATACACTCTACATGAATTTCAAGAAAACAAAATAAATTAAAAACAAGCTTTGGTTTATACAGTAGTTTAGGTGATTTAATGTCAGTTAGATACATTCTATAATACAGATTGATGTTACAGTATCCGTAATTATTGTGTTATAGTACAAATTCACAAAATTTACAGCATTCATTTCGAAAAGAAGCCCCCTCTTTAAAAAGAAGTCTATCTCGAAAAGAAGCCCATCTAAAGTTCGAAAAAAACTTTTACGGTATTTAGGATTAACACAAAAGTAGTTTGTGTTTTTCCCATTTAGTTTAGTTTTTGCGTTTGTTTGGAAAGTATCAATATGTAGAATACATACCAGAATAACACATAACAATCAATCAATCACTCATTTATATAGCGCCGATATCCATAGTGCGAGATACATGTCCAGTGGCGCTCAGAATTGAGAAAAGGTGTATTTTCAATCTTTTCTTGAAAATCTGTATTTTGGGGATACTTTAATGTTTTTAGGACGAAAATTATATACTGTGACTGAGGTGCAGCACTGTAAAGCAACCAAAATTGTATTAAACAACAGCCTCAAATCTTGTTTTGAGTTACTTATAGTTTATTGTTAAACTACGCTATTTACTAGAAAACATACTTGGATGAGGCAGCAACAGAATTGTCCTTACAGTGTGCCTGTATGTACATAAACTTATTAGCTTTTATAATTGTATTGTTTACATAATCTTTTATTTTTATGTATTCTTTTATTACACCTTTTTAACAGTGACATCAAGTCAGACACCCACCATGAACTATTGTCTGACAAAACTTCATGATAACTCTAGTGGCACATTGGAGTTACAGTGTGAGGATAATGGGCACACATCATATGTTCGTATTACGACGTTGAAACATTTCGAGAATGACTGGAAGAGTAATTACTACCAGCCGACTGTTGCTTTTCCGCCTTATATATCCAGCTTTGCACTCGGGATGATTCGAGGTGTCACATTTGCGACTATCTATAATAAAGGTAAATATATCACTGATATATAATAAGTGTATGTTGTTTACTGGTATTGTTGCTGTTTATTGCTACTATTGTTGATACACTATTATTTCCTCCGCAAGTAGGTTATATTTTCATTGGAGTTTCTATGTGTGTTTATGGCCGGTTTGTCTTTGTATGTTTGTTAGCAGCCTTCTGCATACAGTTTTAAGTCTACATGCGTCAGATTTTTACTGATCATTTTAAATTTAATGACGATCCACCGTTAGGTGTGGATGTGGGGACCATTTAAAGAAAAATACCCCACACTATACTGTATGTATGAAACTTGGAAGTGTTAACCGAGTTACAATTATTATACTCTCACGTACTATATACAACAAAGGACAATAGTCATAGCTTTCTTCACATACGCCGTCAGTGATTTCTTCAACAAGTCACTGTGCGGAACTGATATGCTTATTCCGGTGCCGGCTTATTATACAATAGATTTAATTAGCATGGGCTGTTACAGGTGGTTATTAACAAAACACAACAAGGAAGACAATTTTTAAAATTTGGTGAGGTTCCACATTCGGGTATGAATTGAGGATAGGGGTGTCATAATACTAAAGTCACAGATATAAATATCTCAAAAACTGATCAGTAAATCTGAATATTTTTTAGAATTGTTTGTCATGTTCTAACGAAAAAAATGATTGGTGACGATCTGCGGTAGGTTGTGGATATGAGGACCATTAAAGTGAAACGTCCAATACAAGAAATCTCACAACTGATCTAAATGAAACTTTGTGTAAGAGTTAATTTACAGGGAAGAACTAATAATAGTTTAGTGACGATCCAGATCTGGGTGTGGATTTGGGAATCATTTAAAGTGCTAACGTCCCAGACCTAAATATCTTTAAAACACTTAAAATCCCAGTGGAGTTTGATATTCTGTTTCATTTTTAAAATATTGATACATGCTTGGGAATTTTATATAGGGGAAAATGATGATGTGAGCGGAGATGTACACTCTCGGATTGTGTTTTAGTTGTTATTTGTTATTATTGGGTTTTTATGATTATCATCTCTTAATGGCTTACATTATTATTAATGATATTGTTATTATGTTTTTTTACTATGATTATTTGTATGAAAAATATATTCATGATTTATAAATAGTGTTAAAGCCTTCCTGATCCTCTATAATATGTGTTAATTTGTTCTTAATTTTGAATCATATTTTACGGTCGATGTTGTTGTAAATGTTGCTGTTTTTTCATTATCCCGTTATTAAAGAATATGTTTTCTGACAAAATAATAAATCGTGATTTTTAATATCTGCAATCTATAGCTGGAACAAATAGCAAGGAAGTAGCAAGACTTGCTTGTAGTGATTTGGCCAATCAGAACGACCCTCGACAGTCTCTTTACCACTGTAATGGAACTGACGCTCTTGATTTATCAGGATGGGCTTTTGCAACTGGAGACAGGTAAAAGTTTGCTACTCTAAAGTTTTTGAAAAAAAATATCCATTTTCGAATCATAATCATTTTATTTTATCTCATATTATATTATGTCTTAAATTACAAAGAGCTATTCGTAACTATGTTACAAGATTTCAGATAAAATACTTTTTGACACTTGGCTTGCTAGTGTACGGTACTACATTGCAACAATAAATTAGACCGATACTTTATTTGTGAAAAGCATGTATTTAATTCTGGAAAGTCCCGCGAGCACGGATGACAGGTATTTTAAGCAATTTCTTTAGATAAATGCAAATAGTCAATTGTTAGTATAGCACGAATATTGCTGTACTGAAATACTCTAACTAGCATGGTTAAGATATTGATGACAAGTAACAATAATTCATTTTATGGTTTGAACTGTAATAACATTTTTATATAGAAAATATAAAATATCTGGTTAATATACGAAAGTTATGTAGGCCCAATATGATTTCTGATATTAAATGAAAGGTTCATTTGAAATTTAATGATGATTTGGCGTTGGGTGTGGATATGGAGTCCATTTAAAGAAAAACACCCCACACTAGATATCTCAAAACCTGATCCACTGTGCTGTATGAAACTTTCTGGAAGTGTTAACTGAGTAACAAGGAAGACATTTTATGTAATTTGGTGAGGATCCAGATTCGGATGTGAATTGGCGGTAGGGGTGTCATTTAGAATAACAATAATTCATTTTATAACAATAATTCATTTTCTGATTTGAACTGTACTAAAATTTGTATATAGAAAATATAAAATATCTGGTTATACGAAAGGTATGTTTTCCGAATAAATAGAATCACGTCCAATAAATCACCTAATTTCATCATTATCTGCTATGCTGTTTCAACGTGCGTGGACATGGCATAAGTCAATCGCTTCTATAATTCTGTTTCATCGGTCATATGGTCTGTCATTAAGTTTTCAATAACTTCCTTATGATGTCATTAATTTAGAATTACAGTTGTTGTGGAGGTTGAAAACGGTGGTTACGTAACTGTTGAAGACCGTGACACAAATTCAAGATCTAAGAGGTATTACACTGGACGTACACTTACGAGAACGGGAAATTACGTATTTGATTTCGTTGACCCTATTCACTGCTCTGTCGCAATGTCATGCTCTCTTGAATTGTTTAACTGCGGAAATGATATTACAAAGCAGGTAAATACATTACTGAAATTATTATTATTATTATTATTATTACTGTATTACAAAGAATATAACAATAATGATGATATGTTGATCATAATAGTAATAATGTTGATTAAGTTAATGATGATGGTGATGATGATGGTGATTATATTTGAGATGATGATAATTATGAAGATGATTTGTTTTTCATTACAATAATAATTATTATAATATGATGATATTGATGACAAAAATGACTGATGAAGATAATAATGAATGTAATCAAGAACAAGATATTCTAAGATTACAAATCCTCATCCTGTTGCGCCATACCTATGCATAGGCCTATAGTCAGTTCGCTTGGTCCGGTGGTTGTTGTATTATAATAGTTATATACTAACTATTCATACTTATCAGGTGAAGTGTAGCCGTTACGTGTTAGGTATAAAGTTAATCAATTGTATGAGGTTCAAATTTCGGTCTTGTTTTTTTTTTTAATTATTATGTATCATTATTATTATTATTATTATTATTATTATTATTATTATTATTATTGACTTTTTCATTTGTGCATTTATAGAATACTTTTTTTTAAATATTTTATTATTATTATTATTCTTTACTATTGTTTTGTGTAAAATTGGGACAGCAGAACTATTTATATTTATCAGGTGAAGTGTAGCTGTTACGTGTTATGTATAAAGTTAATCGATTGTATGGGGTTCAAAACTCGCTCTTGTTTTTTTTTTTAAATTATTGATTATTATTATTATTATTATTACTATTGACTTTTTTATTTGTGCATTTATAAAATAATTTTTTAAATATTTTATTATTATTATTCATTACAATTGTTTTGTGTAAAATTGAGACAGCAGATTGTGAGATATACGACTGGAAAATATTTAAAACATTCTAAAATCTGCATCTGCATTACTTCTCCAATCCATTCGCCAAACGATGCCTAGCATCATAGGCCATCAATCGGGCTTGCACGCTGTCAGGAAAGCTTCCTGTCTGCCGGCCTGAATTTTACACATTGTCGATCCTTCTCAGGTCAGCCTGGCCCAGCCAAACGACTTGGTCGAACGATCTGCTCAAGTTGGCTCTGTCAGTTGCGACCGAAACATATATATAAATAACGTTCTAAAATGAAGACCGAGGTTCATGTAATATTGTCAATGTGTGCAAAGTAAACATATATATAAATAACGTTCTAAAATGAAGACCGAGGTTCATGTAATATTGTCAATGTGTGCAAAGTAAATCGGTTCAGTAGTTTTTGAGTTATGCTCATGGAGGGACAAATACACCACAGACAGACACTCAGACACGATGATGAGGTTGATGATAGTGATAATGATTTGTTATGAACATTATAATAATGTTGTTGATGATCTGGGGCGGATGCAGGATTTGGCGGTAGGGGTGCGTGAGGGTCCACCTCACTGCCCCCACCATGGTTGGGGATGCGGGAATAGAAAATTTTGAGAATAGGGACCTCTCAGGCCTCGATCCAGAACTTTAGCTCGGTCTTCAAGAATCGTTCAAACTATCGCCGACAGTCGTGACAAATGTGGTTCACAGACGAATCGAGGTGCCTTACAGATTGCGCAGGGCAGCTAGGAATGCACCCTGATTTTTATCTGCGTCTGCAACGCAATCGGAAAAGTTGAACCAGGTTCAACCTCCCCGACAACTGTCGCCGATGAGATGAGCTTTTATATGGAAACAGAGCTTTACCCTGACTAATGCGCATAATGGGGTTCCTGAGTGGGCAGGTTCATGGGAAGAAAACGTAATGTTTGCTTCTGTCGCTGGAAGACTATTTTATACGTGGGGACAATTAATTGCGATGATGAAGATGATGATGATATTGATGTGATGATATAAGGAGGAGGAGGAGGAGGAGGAGGAGGCATCTTACAGGTGACGACAGTCTCCTGTGCAAGGTTAATTAACAGGCCCTTTGATATGAGTGTCAACCGAGGCCCGTATCCTGAGTTCGTCGCCATATTTTCAGTGCACACAATCGGACAACAGTAATTATCTATAAGTTATCATCAGTACATTCTTGACTGTCATGAAAATATCATACATAAAAAAATAATGTTATATGCATGCTCGGAAGCGGAACGTTTAACCTAAAAGTTTGATATATGTTTCATGTTGTTTGTTGAATGGTCTTTGATGATAATATATTCTACCACAACATAAGGAAGAACCGACGTGGGAATTTTGTTTTATGTTGTTTTCTGAATAGTCTTCTTTAAAAATATTACAGTCTAATATGACCACAACATAAGGAAGTCCATCCTTTAAATGTTTAATAGATAGTACAGAGAATTATGACTGTTTATCAAAATCATTATACACATGTTAAATCCAATTAAAAAAAAATAAATAAAAGAATATGTTTTCAGTGCATGCGCCGACGTGGAAAGATTAACATAATAATCTTGTTAATAATGTGGTTCTAAAATTATACTTATGACCACAACTTTTAAGTTGTAACTTTAGAAATTATAATGCATTTTTATTGTACCGCCACCAGCTGAGAAAGTAATTAAATATGCATAAAAGTCTTCTGTGATAATTGCCAACATTTCAATACCATCAATGGATGGTCGGATATAATAATACGTAACTCTCATAACAGTTTCATATTGTGAACAGTTATTTGGAGTATATGATCACGTTCCATAATAGATTACATCCACAGGGTGCCTCTAAGCCAAAATTTCAAAATTGAATAAATTGCGTTTTTTCCGAATTACGACAGACTGAGTAGATTAGGCCTACTGGTTAAAATGTAAAAAATTAAGATTTTATTTTTAAATCACAGAAAAATCACAAATTTATATTCAGTACATTCTTGACTGTCTTGGAAATGTGGACTGTATCAAATTTGGTTAGGTGCGTTATACACACTCTTCGTAACACCCCATCTACTGGATATACAGGCCTGGAAATTTACATTTTACCCGCCAATTAATACAGTTTTGTACGCTTATAAGACTTCCAACGCTGTATGATTTTAAATTTACATACCATGCACGTTGTTGCTCTTCTTCACATTCTGTGTTAATTTTCAGTCTCTCAGTGCTCGGTGGTTAGTTTTGACTTTCTTTTCAGATGTACTGTAGCTCTAAGTGTGTTCGTAAGTTTTAAGCTCTTGGTCTACAATTAGGCTACCAACTCTATAAAAGACTTGTTTTTGTTTTTGTTTTGTTTCGTTTTGTTTTGTTATGTTTTTTAACGAATAGCATTCGTTAAAATAATGAAAAAATAATTCATTAATCAAAAAGTAATAATTAAAATAATGTGTTTTCGCTTTGGTGTAATTTTGGAGTAACAAAATATAATAAAATTATATATGCCTTTCAATAAGATTATAAGAATCAACGCACATGTATAGCCTATCCTCCCTGTGATTGGTTTTTGTTTTAAACCATACATTGTGACATAATAATAATAATAATAATAATAATAATAATAATAATAATAATAATAACAACAACAACAACAACAATAATAATAATAATAATAATAATAATAATAATAATAATAATAATAATAATAATGATAATAATAATAATAATAATAAAACTACACAGTGTACCGTATGTAATCGCGCAGCTTATTAAATTACAGTCCCTCTTTGAATACTGACAATGCAAAAAGTTTATTTTGTCTATATGTTTTTGTCTTTGGTTTAGGTAGGTGGTATTTCTGAAAGAAAGAGTTGGAATTCGCCAGACCACCAGGCACTACTATCATTTTATATTGGCCAACGGTGCGAAGAGGTCTGGATTCGCGCCTGCCTCTAGGTGCCCGGAAATTTCACCCTCATACCTTACAACAATACAATACAACAATTATTTTTCTTATTACAATTTAGGGGGTGCGACCACACCCTCTGCACCCCCTCTGCATCTGCCCCAGAAATGATATTACTGATAAAAAATATGATGCTAATTAAGATGATGATGATATTGATGTTGACGAAAACGAGGCCAAGACATTGTTGTGTTTCTCATACACTGTAACATTAAGAACTGGGTGTTGGTCAGTCGGTTGGCAATTTCTATTGAAGTTGTATATATTGGTTTTTTTGTACTCTAGGAGTAGGCCTATTTCTAGTTTTAGTGCTTGACATCACAATTTACATGTATTTTTTATTTAAAAATGGAAACGAAATTGGCCTAGAATCTTTTTAAGGTATCATATTTGCTATTCAAAAACAACGTTTCTAAACAACATACTGGTATTTTGGTTTCATTTCTCGTAAAACATATATTTGCTGAAAACTTTGATTGTTATGATGATGAAGATTATTAATATTATATTGATGATGGTAAAGAAAATTTTAATACGAATACAGTAATTACCAATATATTATCATTGCAGAAGCACCTGCACCTATCTATTGAAATGAAGATGTCGTTTTCATCCAGTGGATTGGACAAAATGCCAATTACAACAGCACTAAACATCATCAAAAGCATTAATAACAATAGCAATAGTTTGCATTTGCAATTAGGTCTAACCTGTTATTCTATGTTCTTTTTCTTTACTAACATATTTTTGTTTGCTCTTTTTCAGTTCTGAAAAATAATATATAAATTCATTAAGTTTTGTAATAACTAAAATTATTTAGCTATTTTTCTTTATGTTTAATGACTGTTTAAATATTTAAATGACACTATAATTTTGCATAGGCAATAATTTGAAATGTGTTTTGAATATCCCAATGTCTTGAAGAGATTGAATTGCCTTCAGAAAAGTAAAGTGCCAGTTTCAGGTTACTACTTCATCCTCAAGACGATTAAAATCAACTATTCGATATCTCCTTTCGTTACAGTAAATTTATATTGAAATTAGATTGAAATTACAATATCATGTTTCTTGGTCTATTCTTCGATAGTAAATGTAAATTGATGATTGTTTTAAACTTGTCTGTAACCCTTAAGAAAATTCAAACAATAAATTACAATATGATTTGCAAATATATTTATCATAAGCTCATTGTTAGTTAAGATAGTTTAGCTTAGTTTATGTAATTTTGATTTACTTTATTTTCATAATGTTTGACAATGAATGGCTTAAAACAATGCATATAAACTGCAATGTGCTTCTTTTTCAGGGAAACATCATTGTAAGCTGGTCTACCGGTACGTCTGGATGGACTGATCCTGATTCTGGTATCAATAAGTATAAGTATGAAATTAGAAAAATGTCAGTACAATCTGATGGTAAACTGGAGGAAGTGTTGACTGGTGATCCAGTGGCAATTGGTGAAACCAATGGAGGCACTCAGCTGCTACCACATCCAGGTATTATTTGCATTTTCAAAACCATCATAGGTTTTCTTAAAGGAATACTGTCTTCCAACTGCTCCTCCACCCCATAATCAGTATAATCGTCATCATCACCACCATCACAAAAATAAAATAAAATAAATAAATAAAGATTAACATTTATGGCAAAGTGTATATTATTTTTTATATAGGCCTAATTATTTATCTTTATTGATACATTTATTTCGTTCATTAATGTAAGCATTATGTTTCTATAGGTTTGTATTCAGTAGTATTAGAAGTGTTCGATTTGGCTGGAAACGTGCAGCTTGCTCGGCGGTTCATTCTTTTCGATGACATTAATAATGTCACCTTCAAATTAGACACTTCGCTCAAAGTGACGTCTGCTTCCCCGGATACTGGATTTGAATGGTTGACAGATCTGCATTCAAACGTGCAGGTAGATTGGACCAATCATTACATCAATGAGTTTCATGACGTCAATAAACTTCTAAATGAGATTGGAGATTATCACAGCACTGAACTAGCATCAGGTAATATTTAAAAAAAATAATTTTGATTACTGCATGAAAAGTGTTATTTATCAACACAAAATTATAAAAAAAAATTTAGAATTATAAATTACAAATGCTGCTGATTAAGTATATTTAGGCAACCAAGAATCATCTTTTTGTTTTCAATTTCTGAAGATTATTGAATAATAATAATCCCCTAATATATCGCAATATAAAGCGAAAATAAAAGAGAGTCTATGAATTTTATCGATATGTTTATATTCTTATGCAGCTTATGACCAGTGGGATGGTACTAGAGGGCGAAATGCCATACCGAATAAACTGGGTGTAGTGAAGTTCGAGGATACATATTCATTGGACCATAGTGGATGTGCGACATGCAGCCAAGGGATGTGGAATGATATTGGGTTGTCCACATCTGAATCGTATAACATTCCACGAATTGACGGTGATTCAATCACATTTTGGGTACAAGGCACTGACGTCATGAATAACACACTAATTGACTCAGTCAAAGTTCATGTGGATTCTAGCGACGCCATCATTCAGGACCTATGGCTTGTAAAAGATGGCGAAAGAAACATTGCTGTGCACAGTTCTGCAGATTTGCTTGAAATGGAGTAAGTTTGAAGATGTGCAGCAGAAATGGAATATTTTTCTTTCTTTTACTATACTATATTTTGATCTTCACCATGCCATCAAAATTAAAAATTACTTTATGTAGAAGTGAAGTTTCTGTCTTATTGTTTCACAGAAAAACAAATTATAACAAACATAAATTGTTCTATATTCGTCGAATGATGTCGTGTACCATAACATAGTGTTTCTAATATAATTATATAAATATATTAATTTATTTAGCATGAAATGACATCATGAGCATAATTGATAACACCGACGAACTTGTTGCCTAATTTAGTAAACCATGATACCTCATACTTCATGCTGTGTTTTGAATCGTTCTTTTTATATGACAAAATTATTTTAAAAATGTTTTGGTTCAGGTTTGAATTTCAAACATTTGATGCACACAGCGGACTCAAGACAATTCACTGGGAACTGTATGATGTTCACGAGGGAACAAAAATAAGTCTGGGCTCAGATCACCTCAGTGCAGACCATGTCAGTGTAAGAAATGTAGACATTTATTTAAATAATTCTTTCAGACCTGATTGGTATTATATAAATAGCGCATTTCAATAAAAAAAAAAAGAAGCTACATAAGCCTTATATGCGCCATCCGTTTTCACTCGTATTACACAATATAGTGTTTGGGAGCGTATTTAATTAGGCGCCTCGTAGTTCCAAGTGTGCATGCCTATGCTAAAGGTCAATGCTTATACACTAACAATTTACATGACGTATATGAATTTTTTGCTTGTTTTATGGCTTTAGAAATTGACGGTCGTTGACGATCGGTTACAGTGTTTGGTTAAGTTGGCCGAGGTCTATTGGTGCTTTTATAAGACAAGACTGTTTTTATAAGACAAGACAATACAATATACTTTATTCGCAATTAAAAACAGTTGAATTGCACATACATAAGAAATTTAAAAATTGCCTTAAAAGTTAAAAATATCAAAACGGAGATGGTAAACAAAATTACACAAAAAGCAAAAGAGAGAATATTATCATAATTATTATTTATTATTATTATCAAAGTAATAATAATAATAATAACATTATTATTATTATTATTATTATTATTATTATTATTATGTTAGTATTATCATTAGTATTATTATTATTATACTAGTTATTGTGAAAATTAAGAGATTACAAAAAAAGAGTGAACCTTTTCGGCCACAGTTGGAGCAGTTCACCCGAATGTGCAGAGACCATCTACCATTTTCTGAAAAGACCAGCATTAATAATAACATTTTTTGACCGTTCTGTCCGAAATTTAGGGAGATGGAATTGTGTGGACCTGAGGTTGTATTTATGAGTTGGGGCAGTTGGTAAAAGTGAGTGAAGTCTGTGTGATTGATGTTTTATTTTCTGGAAGTATTGTCTGCATAGTCGGGTGCGCTGGTCTGCCAACTTTGGGATATCAACGAAGTCCAGTGCTCTATCATAGCTTATATCAGGGACAATGATTCGAAGCGTTCTGCGCTGGATCTGTTTAAGCTGATTGGATTGACAATTAGTAAGCCCTGTACCCCACACTGGAGCAGCACATTCTAGAACATCTAGATGTGTATAAGAGACAGGTGCACAGTTCTGCAGATTTGCTTGAAATGGAGTAAGTTTGAAGATGTGCAGCAGAAATGGAATATTTTTCTTTCTTTTACTATACTATCTTTTGATCTTCACCATGCCATCAAAATTAAAAATTACTTTATGTAGGAGTGAAGTTTCTGTCTTATTGTTTCACAGAAAAACAAATTATAACAAACATAAATTGTTCTCAAGAACCTCGCCATTGCTACTATAACTTCACTGGTTGTAAGTCCAGCAGAGATCTTACTGCATGTGTACAAAGGTGTTTCATAAAATAGGTCCAACATATATTCAAGATATTCTTAAAAATTTTCAGCCTGGTCGTGTGAGTCTTAGGTCCTCTGATGATCCCCTACGCCTTGTAGTTTCCATTACAAAAAGAGTTTTTGGTGAATGCTTTTTCTGTGATTGATCCAAAATTATGGAATAATCTCCCCTATGATATCCGTCAGGCCCCCATTGTGCAATCTTTTAAAAAACTTTTAAAAACACATCTTTTTCATAGAGAGTAGTTTTGTAATGTTTTTTTACCTGTACTTGACTGATTCATAATTTTATTACACACTTGTGTTTTGTTGTTGCTATGTTTTTATCGTTAAATAGCTTTTTGTAGGATATTTTATTGAATTTTTGGCTTGTAATTTGTACTTGCCATTTCTATTAATTGATTTTTATTGTACTTAATTTTATATTTGTAAAAATGGGTTTTAATATACTGCACTTCGATCTTTGGAATTTTAATTGAATGTTGTAATTTGTATTTGCCATTTTTTTATTGATTGATTTAAAATATTGTACTTATTTTTATCTTTGTAATAATAGTTTTTGATGTACAGCGCTTTGATTGAAAAAGATGTTTCATTTTCAGTTTGTTTAAATACAAAGATAGAGCCTCGTGGATTTGATTAGCCCGATTGTTTCATAGTTTGGAAGTTGCAATCGAGAATGCTCTGTTCCCTTATTGAGGCATGAAGGAAGAGCAAAATATTACTACCTCTTGTTAATGTCATGGTAGTTGGACGTGATTTATCTTGTTGTTCTTGTTGCGTTAAATCTATCTCCCAGAGGACACCATCTAGTGGAATAGATTATCAGTTCAGTATGGCAATTGTCTTTCAAATTATTTTTTGCATTAGATCACTGTGGACACGTCTCCCCCGCATGACGGGGCGGTTTACGATGGTTCACCGGGAGAGAATGAAATCGACTTTCAACAGGAGTTACAAGTCGCTGTACATTGGTCTGGATTCTTCGACAAGGAAAGTGGAATAAAGTACTATAAATATGGTTTCAGTGACCGATGTTTATCTATTGACGATTTTTACAACGTAAATGTAGTGAGTATAAGACAGAAAACATGTCATGATATTCTTGTTACAATAATACTTACCTCGAACGTGTTTTGCTTTATTTTATTCACTAGTGTCACCGGCACCACGAAGAGACACAAACTTCAAAAATCATATATTTTTCAATTTTTCTTTTTTGGGCATTTTGATTATGTACATCGAACTTTACATTTTCATCTAATGTTTGCGTCCATGCAAGGCGCTGTTGACCTAGAGCTCCACTGTTCTTGTTCTTGTTACCAGAACTATAAAATCGTCAATCGTCGCCAGTATTGAACGGATGTGCATGAAATTTTGTACACAAACTAGAGGTGATTTCCAACAAACGTTCATTGCCCTTTTTATAAGTTGGACCCCGGATTTCCCTTACACCTACAAAACCCAACAGGGGTTTCAGCAAGGACTGTACGTTACTGCCATTACCACTGATAGGGCGCGCCGCATGGATGGTGCGGTTGGTTTAAGGATGTGTTCTAAAGAACTTAAGGTTGTGAGATTTAATTGCGTCTTGGTATTCATTTTTTTTTTCCCAATTTTAAGAAAGTTAATTTTTTTTCTAATTTTAAGATATTTTAATTTTGTACAAATGAACATTCTAAGTAATACTTTTTTTTATTCAATCAAAGATTTAGCACACACACAGTGGCTACCAGCAGTTTAACCAAATGAGCTATAATACTGCTTATGCTAACATGTTATCTTCCTCATTTTTCTTTCATTTTACTGGTTGTTTACACTTAATATATGTTTTTCTTTTGAAAGTGCTTCTATAAATAAATGAAAATATTCATAAGTTACTTTAACCCTTTTTACATTGTTAGACAACTTTAAAGACCACATCAACATTCTCAACTTGGACTGCGCCTTCAACAGGAAAGTACTACTGCACAGTTATTGCCTTTAATAACGCTGTTGACCCATCTAACCCCGTCTGCTCTGATGGTGTGACAATTGATAATTCGTCTCCTACTATAAAGGACGTATTTGTTGAGAATTTGTACATTAGGCCTGGTCTCGTCCGCAACGTAGATAATTCTACGGTTTGGTACATCAACCAAGACCTGAAAAAATCGCTTGTCCAAAACCCGTCAGACGCATGCATGTAAGTTTACCAGTCGCATAACGTAGAATGCTGAATGAAATATACATTTTTAAGTAACAGAAACATAGTAAGAGAAGGCGGCTCAGCGAAAAACATTGAATCATAACCTTGTCAAAAATACTTTACTTTGACCTTTGCTATTTTTTTCTAAATTAACACAACCAGTTGGCATATTCAAAGGTGTTTTATGTTCGTTTTTTCATAGTTCTTTGTCAAGGGCACTGGATGAAGACAATTTATCATTGATTCCAGCTGTGTTTATAAATGGAAAAATTAACTCAATCAGTGATCTAGAGTGTTTGCAAAACAAGCCATTATCAACTTATTCATATTTGAGAGAGGATAGATATGTAAGTATAATCATTCCTTAACCTCTACACGTTGATATCAAATTTATATTTATTTAGTTCTATTTATAAAATAATTTTGAAACGTATAAAAAAATATGAATAATATTCATTGCATTAAGGAAGTTAAAAATATACAGAAGTTTTAAAAACTCTCAAAGTATGCCTAATTATTATCTTCTGTTAAGAAGACAACAAATCCAATAACACTACAAATTTGCCAAAAACAGCAATATACTGTAGAACTACTACTCTACGACTGAGGTTATGAATAATGCAAGCTTATATTATATTTGTTAATATTTTAGTTATCTGCCATCTGGACTGGAGTAGATGATGAAAGCGAAATATTTGATTACATGGTGGGGTTGTCAAGTACATCGTCAATTACTGGGCCAGATTTGGTGCCATTTAAATCAACAGGTGGACACCCAATATTAAAAACCTACCATCCTCATCTTGGTGAAGGTGTAGAGTTCTTCATTATAATCAAGGCGATCAACCGAGCAAAGATGTTTACAACAATCGTAAGAAGTATTTTATGTACAACTTGGTACATATTGAAGTATTTTATTAAAATGGTTTATCTAATTTATGTAATCATATTCCGAGCCAAAAATATTATTGTATGTGTCTGCTGTATACTGATCCTAATTTAATAGGCTTAAAAAGAAAGGTTGCATACCAAATATAATGGACTTAAAAGTACTAAAGCTTAATATAATAAAATATGATCAATGTAATGCTATAAATTACACAGAGAATAAACATTTTTCTACGTCTTGTATTGATGGAGCATGTGCGGTATTGTCTCCTTGATAGATGGTTGGTCCAATTATTGTTGATGTGACTCCACCTTCCTTTACGGGTGATATACACGTCAGACTTGACGAGGAATATATGTTAGCAGAATGGAAAGCTGACTGTTTTATTGACGACGAGGACGACGAACCTCTTACTTACTACGTCGCAGTTGGTAAGTAATAATGAATTGTGCGAAAGAAAGAATCAACAATATTAACTAATGAAAATGAATCAGCTGAACGTATATCCTAACCACCTAATGGTACGTTCAATCTCTAGGAACTTAACGCCAGCGTATCTAAGTAACAGAAAGGGTGTCTGAACACGTCACACGTCTAAAGGTACTCCATTCAGCAAACTAAAGGCACCAGTAAAACTTTAAAACATGCCAGTAGTCCACTTATTGCTACACGGTCTGCACAGGTCTGAGACAACTATACAACTTGTATAGTTGTCCCAGGCACAGATTCATTATTAAATAATTCATACATTAATAATCTTTGCATACTAATGCTCTTCCAACGCTTGGAGTTGTTTTTGATGTTTCTGTTAGGCAATCTAGACCAACACCACCAAAGGTTGACAATTAATGAATTTGATACTAAACATAATATCAACCACAGTAACAAATCAATTGAATAATAATAATAATGATATTTCTATCTATGTTAGTTCTCTTAGTATTATTGTTAAAGAAATAGCACTAATAGTAAATATTAAAAACGGTAGTGATAATAACAATAACAATAATAATAACAAATAAAAATTACAATAATCATAGTAATGATAATACAAGTTTAATTCTTAATAATAATTGTAATGATAATGAAATGCTATTATGCTATATTATGTTGCTGTTATGTCAATACTACAAAAGAAATAACAATAGACAACAACGAAATATGGCGTTAATAGGCATTATTAAATTATTATTTATTATATTAGGAATATTGATATAAGATTTACAATTCTAATTTTTAATAATAATTGTAATGGTTATTTTTATTATTATTATTAATTTTATTATTAAGCTTTTTATTATAGTTATAATAGGCTACTTATTATTATTAATATTGTTATTATTATTTAAATATTTCTTACAGATGTTATTATTGTCATTGATAATTTATGCTTTTTTTTGTCTGTTTTTA